AAATAACTTAAAATAATATAACAATTATAATCAAACGAATTTAAATAAAATAAAGAGGAAAAAATAAAAAACATTATAAATGAAATGAACTAAAGTGAAATAATTTAAAATAAGTAAATTAAAATATATAAAAATGAAATCAAGAATATAAAATAAAATAAACAAAAGTTAAATAAAAAATTACAATAAATAAATTATTATAAAATTAAATGAAACAAAATAAATAAAATAAAGTAAAAGAAAATAAAATTATATTAAATAATATGTAGTAAAATAAATAAATGAATTAAGGAAACAAAATAAAACAAGTAAAAAAGCTAAAATGTAAAATAAAATAAAGTAAAATAATTATATACATATAAAATAAAATAAATTAGGAAACAAAAAATGTTTAATAATTTAAAAGTACTAAATGTAAGAAAATTAGCTAAATTTTTTTTTGTGCATTTCATAGTGTTATTTAACAGTTTTAATATACACATTGTATAAAACACGTATATAAGTCGAAAATGTATATCTGTATATTTCATCACTCCCTACTTCAGTTCATTACTTCCGTTTGATATTTATTCAACCATTCAACTGTAAATCTCGTTGCTTTAGCGATTTCCTATTGAATTCATAGCTAAACCAACTGAATGGCCATCTATAAGCGGAGAAAGCAGCATCATTGCTAGGAATACGAATAAATGAAATAAAGATGCTCCTTTGGGGCTCTACTATACACAACGGTTATTTATTCAATTTCAAATACCTTACAGTACAAATATTTACTCATACTTTTGTATCAGGTGGCAACATGCAGAAGTAAAGAAAGCTTAATGGAAGTGGATGAAGGAAGTGCCAAAGCCGCTGCGTGTATATACATACATGTAATGTGCACGGGTATACATATGTGTGTGGCACTATACTCCATTTGGATATTGTATTTTTTCAACAATTGTATTTAATTTATTTTCTACTAACAATAAGCACGTTCTTATGTATTATGTGGTTTACTTAAATATATAAAATAAATCAGTCTAACTAACCGAACAGTAGTTGCTGACTGTGTGTATAGATGGATAGATAGAAAATATTACGTATACGCAATGGCAAACAATTTTCCATTCCCTCAAACCTATAACCTGCTGTTCATTGAATTATGTGTACGGCTTCTTTTAATAAATATGAATAAATATTCATTGTATTTTATACATAATGCCATACAAATAAATGATACTTATTTATTTAATCGTAATGAAAAGTGAATGAAATGAATTTGTATTTATAAAATAAAGCATATTTTATACAAATAATACATGCGGTTGAAATCAATATCTATGAAGACTTAATTTTAATATGGCTTACATTTTATTGAAATTAAATTCAATTCATGAAATTTTATATTTTTATTGTAACAATAAATATTTGTAGTAAAATATATCAAGTTTCGCTGTAAAAATTATTAAAATTATAGAGATTGAAATAAGACAAGCCACAAGACAGCTGTATAAAACTCAAACTTTGTTAACAGAATTTAATAAAATTACCTTTTTGTTCTTAAAAATATTTTTTTTAATATAAGATATATACTCAAATGACCACAATTAGTTAAATTAAATTGTGCGAAGGATCTTTTATTAAGAAATATTTATTGTACTATTAAACTGAAACTATGAAAGTAATTCATTAATGGAAACAAGGAGTTCAAATAGCTTTTGCACTAGTACAAAATATACATTTGTATATTTATATTAATTTATATTAAATACTTACAATCCGCTTGTCATTCGCACTTTAATAATACCTCTGGCTCGTAGCTGTTTTATGCTCAAATATACTCATTACGAATGACCAATAGGCAGAACAAATATATAGCCACACATCAGCATATTCAAGTACATGCAAGGATATGCCGCTCACTGTTATACATATAAACCATTAGTAATTAAGTATATTTATAACAAGGGAAAATCCATTATGAGCATAACGTCCAAGCGTTCATTGGTGTAGAAAAATCGACTGCATTGAAAGTGAAATGCTTTAAATGCAATTTTCATGTGCGTTTTCAGAGTTGTTCACATTCAAGTAAATAAAATGCCTGCCATATAGGAAAAGCTTTTCTCTAGGTATAAACAAAGCTTCAACTAGAGATAAAAGATGTTTGGTCAGCGCAGAAATAGGCAATTCTAAACAAAAAAAAAAAAATTACAAAAAGTTCCTAAAATTTTTTTCCCAGGCGAGGAGAAGGAAAATGCCTATCGCATCTTCATTATTGGGCCGTCACTTCAATGGTACGTCCTACCCGTCGCCACTTTCGCATTACTTCACGGTGGTTCCATTTTTTTAGTAACATCTCTACACTTGCGGCCATGACCCGCTTTTCCGTTTTCGTTTTCACGTTCTATGAATTCCTTTACACTTCTTCAGCTTCTATCACTTACCCAGCTTTTTTCACTTGCGAGCATGACTTCGACGCGTTTAGTGGTCCGACCGTGGTTTCGAGCGTTTACGTTCAACTTGTCAGCCTGCACGTTTTTAGATACATCGCAGCTCTTCAACCTATTTTGTGTAAATATTTTTGAAAGTATACGTCTCCGGCTAGCAAGTAGGTGATAGTGTAATCTACCTCACCGAATTTTCTGTCGTCCATACTTGGACATCTGTTATTATCAGTCTCGGATTTCTAATTGCCATCGGGCTTGCTACTAGTTTAGGATTTTCTTTCGTATATCCCCTCTTCTGGTATTAACGACGCTACCGTGGGACTTTATTTTATTTTTTTTCAGTTTTTCTCCCCTTTCGGATGCCAAGAGGTCGATGGGATGGAAATGCATTCGCTTATTACTGATACCGCTTCGCTGATACGGTACGGTATGCCGATGCCACCCTAAAAGCTGCTGTGTGATACGCTTAAGACAATAGGTTTCGTGGGTAGGCCTTCTTTAGTCAGTCAGAGATACGCCGATTATGTCTGCTTTGTTCGGCCAGACGTTAAAGTGGGCAATCATAATTTTATCTTCATAGTGGCGTCAGTGCGCATTAGTCACCCGTGGGGAAGCGTGTGCAAATTAGCGATATATCGAAGAAGTTCGCCTTGATTCGGGGTTTACAGCGATGTTAATACACCGGGCTAAGTGCCAGAGCTCGGATACTGAGTGTCTCTTCCTCTAAGTAATCGACATACCATATCCGTTTGGCCGCTGCAATAGATATCACAAGGACCAATTCGTTTGCGTCCAGCTTTCGTTCAATGCAAATCTTGGAAGACGACCAGTGCCACCTTCAAATAAATCATTAATAATAGAAGGGGCTTCCTTAAAATGATCGATTATAAGATTTTTTTCGTTGTGCTGGGCTTAAGTCCGTCGCAAAACCTCACTATGAGAGTATGTTTAGTTTTTGGACACAGTTTTATAACGGGTCGCTTGCCTCAAGATCTACGCCATACCATGGCTGTTCCGGGTGAACAAATACTGCTAAAATACTCTAGTCAACCCTCGAATCGGATATGTTGGAGTGGCTTCTTTAAAGCTCTCTCTCTCTCCATGGCTACGTGGACGCAAGAGCGTTTTAATCGACAGATTTTCTCTATGTGACGCCAGCATTGCCAACTGTGAAATCTAAATATACCAACCATCAAAGAAACGGCACAAAAATATATAACAAAACCGCGTAACCATCCGAAACCTTTGGTTAGCAAAACAACTTGGCCTACTCAACAAATCAAACCCGCCTAAGAGGCAGATACAAATCAACCTTCTAAAAAGCAACGTCAAACTAGGAGCTTATTCCTGTTAATGAGCTAGAAGCTTAAGTTTATTTTATTACTTATTGAGTTCAATTCAAGTTTCAAGATCCAATAAAGAAACGCCAAAGTTAATATGAAAAAAGATTTTTCTTAAATTTTTTTTTTTTTGGTCAAAAAATTATTACTTCATGAAACGCATTTTTGGAAATAAAAATACAAGAGACTATAAATTTAGAAGACACCTTGTAAACGCTGTTATCGGTCAAGCTAGTCCTCCATTTTATGCTATTTGTCTTACTCCTTATTTTCAAGAAAGAGAGGGACCTACAACTTACACTAAATCGCCTAAGAACGGCTGCTGGATTTTTATAAGGTGTTTTTTTCCTGTCAGAAATACACTCGCGTGTCTAGAATTTCGCCACCGAGAGGTGACCGTATTTAAAAGGATTAATTTAATTTTTATTTAAAATAGCTTTTCTAAATTTTTTGAATGTTTGTCTCATTAGGATTCGAACTTTCCCTGCCTCCCGAACGCTAATCACCAGGTCATTATCTTACAATTTTAAAAAGGGCCAAGGTGAATGCAACTTCAATAGATCAAAATCCTTGTGATACCCACATTTTTTGACTATTTCATCGCCCATTGGATGATTGTGATCACCTGAAAAAACTTTTCCATTGTCGAAAATTTTCCTACAGGGCATAGGCAGTAATACGCTCTTGGGCATTTAAAAATAAATAACTGCTATGGCATATGAACTCAACCTGCGAGAGTTCAACGCAAACTGTTTACGTACTCATTTATGCATTAATGCACTCGTATATAACTTTTGTATTATAAATATAATATTTACCTATGAATATCAATACGTATTCATCTAGGTAAATACAATTATATCCATACATTAAAGATATCACCAATAATTTGTGATTTAATCAATGAATTTTAAATTTGCATGAAAAACAAGATACAAATACAATAGCTGAGTAAATCAGTTTCGGTATGAACTTTACAGCTGTTTTTTTTTTTTTTTTTTTTTTTTTTTTTTTTTTTGTAAAATTATTATATTATTTATTTAGTGTTATATATTTAATATTATTACATTATTATTTCTATATTATACCCTAAGTGTACTACAACCTAACTCTTATGACCGCGTTATTAATATTTCCTATTATTACCTACCTAACACCTAAGTTTGCATTATGTACATACATATAGACGCCACTAATTTAATTAATATTTGAAAAAGAAATTTGTTTACAATAAAAAAAATTTTGTTTCTACAGATTCTTCAACGCCTCGATCCTTTGCCCGGATAACCGAAAAAGCCAATATTATTAAGCTCGATTATTAATTCATTAGCAGTTGATATTGCCTTGAACAGCGATTTCTTCAGCTCATCATATTGAAAATGTGGTGGAAATGGCATTTTCACCATAGAGCATATATTGACATCACCACGCTCATTACCGACAGCCAAATTATGACCACATAAACTAACTCTAAAAAAAAAAGATTATAAAAAAAAAATTAAAAAAATATTGTTAAAATATTTATTTTAATAATTTTATTTTTTATTTTTTTGATTATAAAATTCGGCACTTACTCGAACATTGTGTTGAATGCCGAACCAAGTTTTGTGCGTGACATTGGCGTCAAGAGATTGCGTTGTATATCCCAAACATCTACGGATGAACGATTTGTAGAAATTATGACAGTTGAGTGTGTGCGACTCCATTGTGCCGTGTAAATGGGTATCATTTTGTGTTTTAGTGTTACCAGTGGTTTCTGTATGCCATCCATCCAGATTCGAATACACCTGCGATTTTAAAATATTTGAATTAAAGTCAATTTAATACTATCGATTTTATTTTGTTGTAACCAAATATTTATATAAATAACGCTATATTAAATATTAATAATATTAAGTAGTTTGAGGTATGCGTCTTAGTATGTATTTGATTTTCTTACAAATAGAGAAACTCACCGTCTCCGAACGACATGTCAGACACACACTCGAGGTGTTTGACATTCCCTGCCAAGGGGCAACCACATATAGAAAAATTAATTAATTTTTTCGAATGTTGGTCGAAACAGGACTCGAACCCCTGAGCCATCGAATATTAGTATGCAAAATCTACCACTCGGCTATTATGGCCGCTTACAAGTTTACATTCATCCCCAAAAGTTTTGGTCTGCGTATTAATGTTTTTTCAACAAATGGAGGGATCAACTATTTATACTCAGCTGACTCCGAACGGAACGGTCAGAACTAAACTCGAAATGCTTCCCAGGCAAAGTTCGAATGCAATTATAACCATGACTCGTGGTCTGGCATTCCTTAAGACAGCCTGCAATGCTTACCTCTCGGCAAGCAAGCAAAAGCTTTGATGTTTGGCTAGAGTCGCTCGAATATTCGTTGGAAAATTCCAAATTTCAATATTTTTATATTTCAATTACTATAGTAGGTTTATGTGAAGGTTTATACGAAATAAATATTTTCTGGAGATAGACCGCGGACCGAATTATTCGAAAAATGTTATTCATAGTTCGATTTACGTGAAATTCGCTTCTCAGGTGGCTTTTTGATAAGAAGAGGACTACTTTTCACTGAGAAGTGGACCAGTTACAGACCTTTTTAAAAAAAATATTTTCATTTCACAGGTGACATTTTGCTTAATTTAGCCGAAAGGTTCATTTCTCCGAGTACTTTTCCATCCGAGAAATGTATCAAGTACTGACTTGTTCCCAAAAAATATTATATATCTTCGATTTACTTGAAATTCAGTACATAGGTCGCGCTTTGCAGGAAGACCACTCTTCTCTCCGGAAAGTGGACCAGAAACTGACCTATTCGAAAAAGTCTTATTGTGACTCGATATACCTGAAATCCGGTTAACAGTTGGGTGTTTGCTTGGGTTAATTGGAAGACTATTCTTCCCACCGTAAATCGTATGTACGGAATTAGCGCTTACAATTACATTTACTCTAAACTGGTGGCATAGTTTTGGATGAATTTTAAATGAAATGTCTCAATGGGATATTTTTATTTGCTGTAAATGTAACAGAGACCAGGAACCAAATGCGGTTTCTTCGAAAAATAAGTAATACTTTCTTTGAGTTGGATTTGGATATAAGCGAAGATCTGGCAAAGGCATGATCGTTGCGTAATTTTCTTAATTTGAGGTTCAATGTGTTAATTCGATGGTAAATAATGACTGACTTAAAGGCATTCATATTTTCGTTTGTAAGGCTCCACATTTGTTGAAAAGTTAAGTTTCGATTGAAATTTTTGCACAATCATTCCTGGCATACCTCAATCAACACCAACGGACGAGATCACTGAAAGACAGGAACGGCAAAATTCAAATGATTGATCGTACATTCGGACGGATTACATTAACCTACAGAAATTAGTCAATTAGTGAGGCCAAATATTGAAACCAAGTAAAAGGATTATGGATGAGTGGCTGAGCGATATATCTTTGCTGCAGCAAGTTAAAACGTCTGCGATCTTAACCAAGCGATTCAGTCGAACATCAAAAGCGTATGCGTCACATACGTACATATAAGTCAATAGACAGCGTTGAGGAAGTCGCTGAGGCAGTCAATTGTTATTAACAGAATATCTGAACTCTTTTGTTTCTGCGCCTACCATTTATTAATAATCACAGCCGATACTCTGCAACGTTGCACGCCTTGAAGTCAAAAAATTACAGAGAAGCGTAAGAGTAGCAACAGTTCTGACTGGAGCTTTCAAATGGGAAGATATATTCATTTCTCGAATCTGTATCATTTCGGCCAATTTACCGCTGCATCTCAAGCTTCCTGCTCGACTGGTATTTGCAGTCACTATTATCAAAGCTAAGAGTTAATCTATAGAATTATGTGATCTACATTTAGATGCGGACCCTTTTCAACATCCACTTAGCGCAAATGCGAGTTCGAAGCTTCATTCAAGATCAGTCGTGAATCGGATTCACGCAATTAGAAGCTTAATATTGGAACCACAGCTGCCATCAATGAGGTGAAGAGTTTCCATCAAACGATTTCATTAATTAATACATTGGTAGCCCAGAACTTAACCTTAAATCTTGTGATAGACAGACCATATCTTCATTGAAATACTGCGTTAATGCCTTGCTAATCTAAGTCATAGATCAATTTCAATGAGCTAACCAGTCGTCACAGAGTCGTAGACTATTTGCCAAACATTCTAGTCACAACTGATGCTAAGCTCGGGTAGAAACTGACTGTCGGAGAGCTGTCATGTGGAGTTCATTGTCACCTCAATGAACGTGCTGTACCAGATCAGTAACTACGAAGTTCTTGTTCTTGCGATACCCTGTGCTTTGAGCAACTCTTTTTCGATTTATATCATCGTTAGGAAACAAAAACTAAAGTAGATACGAGCAAGCACCTAAGAGAGCTGATTTCTCTAAATATTTACTCACCAATCATTGCCGCAAGTGAGAAATAATTTCGGTGACCACGGGGAAAAGTCCATGCAATTTACGGCACCATCATGTGTTTGCCACACATCCAAATACGAGAGTGTCGTATTCGTAGAACACTTGTAAATACAACCCTCATCCGTTAGCAAATAGTAGATATCCTGTAGATGTGGATGCAATGTAATATTAAGACCCAGCGGATGTCTATTCGCAAATAGCTCTATTGGATTATTTGTTAGACGATTGATTTGCAGACCTTCCGGCTGGCCGTGCATACGATATAACTCCACCTGTTTGAAGCTCAACAAATGCGGACTGCGTATAACACAATAACGCCAGACAGTGCCATTCGAGGAGAGTGCCAATACAGGATCTGTATCCTCGTTCTCTTGTTGATTTTGTATCCATTTTAAAGCCACAACCGGATCACGATTCAACGATGTAGTGCGTTGTGTAACAGAAATTGGTGCATCATCGGGTTTGGTTATATTACGTACCTCAACTGTGCCATCATACATGCCGATAGCTAGAAGGAAGGGTAGAAATGGTGAAAACTCGACTGATGTCACTGGCGTGTTATAACGGTATGCACGTTCTGGATTATGTGGATTTTTAATACTCCAAATGCATACATCACCAGTGGAGACGGTTATTAGAGCCGAATATGAGAATACGCCATACGCCACAGCCAAGATGTCACCATTGCCATAGCAAAAACTGATATCGGAGACCGCCTTACGCATGTTGCCACTGATACGTGGCGCACCAAATTTCGGCGCATATAATGTGAATATTACTTCCGGCTGATAACGGTACTCTGCAGCATTATCAAACTTCGTGGGTAAATTTATATTACGAAAACGCTTTTGACCTTCGCCATAAATATTGCCCGCTAACAGACGTTCCATAACCATGCTGGCGGTGTGAAAGCTTGAACTCTTACTTATTTGCTTAAGATCTTCGGTAAATAGTGGATCCAATGTGCGGCTAACTCTTCTCTCGCCGACCTCCTCATCTGCATGACTCTCCGATAGCAACTTATAAGTGTCATACAACTCATAGAACGACATATATGACCCCTTCTCCTCCGTAACTCTGTAGTAGGTGTTGACGAAACGTGTCTTTGTCAATATATCATTAGTTTGAGTTTCGGCTTCACTACGTCGTCGTACATTGCCACGCCCAATCGTGAGGTAATCATAAATTCGATTGTCCTCTTCTACGAAATCACCCAACGGCGTGCCCTTAGCTACTGTGATACTTGCAGATTCGTACAGTAAAAATGTTGGAGATTGACGTAAGATGACTCTTATAAATGGTAATCGATGTTCCTTGAATCTACTATCTCGACGTAGCTGAAATTCGTGGCCTTCGTCTTCTCCCATTAAACTCGCAAGGATGTTATGTATACTGCCGATCTACAAATGAGGAGGAAAGATCACAAGAACTAATGAATAAAGTTCATAAAATCGAGTATAAGATAAAAACTAAAGGAAGAAATATTCATACGACGAGATAAAAATTTTTAGGAAAGCCAAACTAAGATATCTTAATACCCAGCCATCAAAAAACACCGAAAGAACATCACAGTTTCTTCTTCATTCAAAATAATCATTGAACTCACAACAATTATTCAGACGCACAAGGCTGATATACCGCTCCTTTCCGAAACCCACTTCTACCACACACCACATCCAATGAGCAAATCTAATGGACGCTCAGATAGTTTGAGAAGCTATGAACTGAGTTGAGTTGTTGCGGTTGCTGCTAAGAGAGACTAGCGCATTTAGATATAAGATCCAGTCGAAACAACACTGTAGAGTACGTTCCGCCTTCTTAGATGTACGAACCATTTCGTATGTCTTAAAAACGATGCGATAATGCCAACACCAGCCGTTGCTACATCAGCCAAGTAGTCAAAGAAGTGATGTCCTTGGTATTTATGTCATATGATGCTTAAGGCTGGACAGTGATAAAGGTAGGGCTCGACAGATCGTACGTCAAAAATCATTAGAAAAGTATCCCATTCTCTTATCGTGAAGTCCCATTAAACAGTGTTCAGTTAGAATAGTCGTTGTTGACTTTTAGCATTCAGCACAGGCCTGCGCTGTCCAGCAACGTTGCCGGTTCTTTGGCTTAGTCATCTGTTGTTGGCTGTTTTGATGAGAGCTAGCTTGCTATACACAAGGATACGCTCGCGACGCTAGAAAGTATAATATACACATAATTGGCCTTTGTAATCGCTGAAGCGATTTTTGGCCGGGCTCCTCCTCGAATTGGTGGTTTTGCGTCTTGATGTTTTTCAAAAAGATAGAGAGACCAAAAATTTAGACTAAACAGCCTCAGAAAGGCTGATGGATTTTTTATGAGGAGCTTTATTTCATGCCAGAACTACACTCGGAGCGGTTGACATTTCCTGCAGAGGGACTGGCATTGATGATAGCCTACAATGCAAAGCTCAAATTAGGATGAAATGTATGGAAGAACCCCACTTGTTATGAAGAATCTCATCAAAGAGGTTTTCAAAGGTTTCAGTCGAACTTAAAAGCTTCTTTGACAATACGAAGAAACGTGGCTTTGTTTCATATTGTTAAGTTCAAAGAGTTTTTTTTTTTTTAAGAATAGTGGTGTGTGGCCTATAATCCTGTAGAGGGTACCCATGCCAATAAAGAAAAGGAACATTAATCCTCGACTCCTTGAAATTTCTTTTTGCAGTTTTTTTTTGTATAAGTTTTGACTTCTATTTAGAAATAAGCTACTTTCAATTACAAATCAGTCACCTCTTCCATATAACCACATGTAATAACGTCTAGAAATGTTACCAGGTAGCTTTAGCCAATATTCAAACATACATACTTACATCTTTCAGTATATCCTCCAGAGATAATCTAAGGCCACCCAACCTCATTTTCTGTGTTGTGCTAGAATGACTCATAACACTTTGCCGGCTCAAACTTTGACGTGTTGAATCAGCGGTATCCAAACGAGCTCTTATCATGGCATTAAATAGTTTATATTTACGCTGACTATAAAAGTCCACATGCAGAAATTTTGGTGTAACATCCACGAAATTATCATTATATACCTAAAATTACGAAAAAAAAAAGATCGTGCAGCAGTAAAACGAAATTTTTGTTTTTCATATGCCAAACACTTACCGTAAAATCCTTGCGAATATGAATTAAATCGTCAATTTCCGTATCGAAAAGTTGCTTGTAGGGCAGGCGGTTCAAGCGTGAGCTATGCTTCGAGGATTTCTAAAGAACATTATTTTTTCAATTTCTTATATCATTTTACAAACTTTAAGCTGTGCACACAAACCTTTGCGCTCAACCTCGGGTGTCCTGGCATTATTTTGTTTCTATTCCAGAGTTTGTTTCAACTAATTACTTATTTCTTTGTCCTTAATCGAAAATCCACCATAAAAAATATATATCTATCTCCTATGTAGCTAATATTAAAAAAAAATATATGTATCTAAATATCGCTATTAAAGAAGAGCTCCGCAAAAAAAAAATTCTACACGCCTCACAGAAAAATAAAAACCTAATAAAATTTTTTCAAAAATTGATTTGTCATCAAATTTCAAATCTCAAATGGAGTGAAAGTAAAACACAACATACGAGATGTCATGTTGTGAAAGAAATGTAAAAAAAAAACAAAAATTTATGTATAGAAATTGAGAATTTCGAAAGGTATTGAGTGCTTGTAGAAAGTCTCCCGTTTCGATAACATTATTTGTTCCCAATTATTTTACCAACACTTCTTAAATCGAGTTGCTGATGAGTGCTCTCAGAGAGCACCTGTTGTGATCGTAGCTATTTGAGGTCGAACCTTTCTTATATTTGTTGACGGACGATCTGTGATATTGAACCGAGTCGATGTTAGGTCTTCGAAAGCCATGCACATCTAAAACACTATATACTTGTCTTCCGTCTACCACAACATGATTGGTTTGATTGCGCGAGTTTAGCTCCGGCGATAACCACGTAGCCTGATGTATTTTCTATGGAGAAAATATAGTACTGCAGACAAACATATTTCGGACCCCGGCAAAGTCGGTCAACCACAGGTCGTTTGAGGATGTTTCGCTACGGAGACTGAACTTCCCAGCTAATGTGCCATATTGTTAAAGGTGCCAATCGTGTGGTGGAGTCAGTGCTCACAAGCATGTACAGGACGCACGCAGAAAGAGTTCATTTTCTTCCACCAGAGCTTGGACGCAAGACAGCGTCATGTTTGAAAAATTCGCTTTGCTGTGTGTTGATTGTGGCCCTCGGTGCGGCTACACGGTGACAAATTCAAAACCAAATTTGCTCGCCATCATATGGCTGCGGTTTATTTTATTTCAAAAACCCATCTTCTTCTGACCTTGTGCTGTCCATGGTACCTTTTAAAAAGCATTGATGTCAGTCTTTATTATTTAGTGGACGTCAACCAGCAGAGCAGCGCCTTTTTCAGCATGAAAATATCGGATATTTCAGGTGCATGCAAACGTGATCCTTAAAATATTTTCAGGGTCGTATTCAAAAGGAGGTCTCTCATCCGAGGTTTCTTTTTAGTTTTCAATGGTGTCTACATTTCCAGTTATGTCTGGGTTTTGTGGCCGACTAAACTTATGTCTATCTCGGACTGGAGCTTGTTTCTCGGTTAGATAAGTAAAGCCAAAAGTCAGTTGAGTTTATTCGGAAGTGGGATATGAATCAGAGTAGTAGGGGATGTATTTTTCGAGGGCTAGCTTGGATTTATCTACTGTTTTAATTTTATACAAATAGACAAACTAGAAGTATCGTCGAAAATGTGACCTCACAATCAGTTTAGAGAGTGAACTATCGAAAAGGTTGTGCTGCAATATCTCGTTCTCTTCTGTACACTCTCTGCACTCATCCGATTTCATTTAATATAGCTTGTGTGTATGATGTTTCTGGTGAAGATTCGCTGTCAGTAAGGCAATCGATGATGTCAGCCTCTCCAGAGGACTCAGTGCTTAGCGCGAGTTCTGTCAAAAGCTATCATATTCTTCACAGTTAGTGACCTGAACCAAATTGTCAAAGACTCTTGGGTGGTTACCTGTTAGCGTTACATCACTTGTATATTAATTGACATGAAATCGAGAATAATTCCCCAGATCTCTGATAATAGACTGGAAACAGAGACGTTACACCTGTTCCAGAGGTTCAGTATGACACCTTTTATATTGTGCTTCAAATATTAATAAGAGCTTCATAACGCTTTTGTGAAACCAATACACCATCCGGGATTGTAGCCCTAATTTTGGCGCAATGCTTCTTCTGTTAGTACTGGAAACTCGGTGCGCTTTACTGGTTGTGCTGAGGTGTCAATCACGAACTATTTCGATTGGCGTAATGGCGGCTACAATAGCCGAGTGGTTAGTATTGCGTACAAGCATGAGTGTCAGGGTTCGAGTCCATGGTTCGAGTTTAGCTTCAAACGACATTGAAAAGTATAGAAAATAATTTTCCAATTGGATTCGACCCACATCCATCAACCGTTCAGAGTTAGCTTAGAATAAAGATCCCTTCATATCCCTTCATATGTTGAAAAATCATCAAGACGCCAAACCACAAACTTGAGGAGGAGCTCGTTTGGAAATTACTTCATCGATCACAAAGCGTCAAATTTGGTTGATATATTTATATTTCCCCATAAAGTTTATGGGTTGAATTAGTGAGTTATTATCGTCGTCGTTAATTTCAGACCAAGTTCGCTTGGTGTATAATTTTAGCACCTACACTTTCGCTTACGTTCCGTCTATTGCTTAATATATGCCACAGCCAGCTAAATAAATTTAGCTTGAGCACAATTAAGGCAAGAGATGAGGTGCTGCCCCAGCGTGGTAGGAATTCAAGAATATTCCCGCAGTAATGCAAGCCTTTCGGAAGAGAAGTCTAAAGTGACTAAAGTCCAAAAGTTCAGACGAGAGTTGGATCTTTAAACCGTAACGACCCATTTTTTTTACCATCCAAGGACTGTCACTCCTGCAAGCTTCCTCAAAAACTGTTTTTGATCTCTTCGGTCCATCTAGGCATAGAAAGAAAATACAACATCTCGAAAGTAAAAAATATTTACCCCTCCAGCATTCGAGTATCAAGCATTCATCCAAATCTCAAATCCACCATAGTTAATGGTGGCATAGCAAGTGCATGGTGATTGATGAAATGCCAACTAATCAGTAATGGACTAAAAGCGGAAGCCATACATGCCAAAAGAATACAAAAAAAAAAGAAAAAAAAATTGGAAAAGCACAGAAGAAGCAATGCACTTAAGTAGCAATAAGATTTTCTGAGAAAGTGCAACTGACGACGGAAGTTAGCATTCATGTGGCTAAATGACGAAAAACAAATCACAAATGGTACAAATGGTTCTTATACTCACCCAATGACTATTGCTGCTGCTTTTGTAATTCAACAAAATGAACGTTAAAAGAAAACAGCAGCAACGCTTTTTTTACCATTTTCACCACAATTTTTATTTTCATTTCTTTCAATTACGTTCATATTGCGCTTTTTGCTAGACTTGCTTGCCGTATTGTTGGCAGCTGCAGCAAACCCTATTATATGCATCCTTAACGATCAGCGTTGAATGGAAATGCATAGCTGATGAGTGCGAAGAGTGATGATGCGTAGAGAGGGGAAATGAGGGGAATTTCGTGTAACAACTTCCTCATTTTTTGACACGAACCATTTCATGTGGCAGACTTTAGCTAGTTTTCTATTACTTAACATGCGCTTTCTTCAGTTTTCTTATGAACTCATATCTAATATGTACATATTTACTATATAGACAAGTACTTATGCATGTATGTATGCGCGTATGTGTCATTGTACCTAGCGCAGCAGTGCATACGAGTACTTTACCAATCACTCTTGTCGCTATGGCATGCTGTTAGTAGCCTCTGAAGCCGCGCTGCCACACTGTTGTTGGACTTTGCAAACTTAAGTGCATCGGTATATACATAAGTACATATATTTACTCGTATACTATTGTAGTATATATTTAGCAATGTGTGCGCAATGAATACAACATTTCCGCAATAGATAATCATGACCTGTGGCAAGTAACCGCTAGTTGGTTAAGTGGCAGGACAACATTGTGATGGTTGAGTTAACTGAAAGGGGATTATGTGTGTGAGTGAGTGTATTTATGCTTGTATAATATAGGGAGTGTGTGTGTGTGTGTGTGTGTGTGTAAAAGCTTGCTTCAACTCCAGCTGTCACCATTATTACGCTTCATTCACGAACAGCTGCTTGTTTGTTTAGTTGTTCATGACCCTTCGGCTTGCTTCCACTTTTGTCTCATCTCTATCTCTCTGGGCGCATACTTAAGTTCTTTTCAAATTCTTTTTCTTTATACTAACTTGTACTGGCATGTTTAAAGTTGAAACATCGCAACTAGTGTTTTCTTTTTTGTCTTCTTCCTGTGATAATTTTTTTCTTCTTTTATTTAGAAATACCCCCTTTCTACTGCATTTATTTGATTGTAGATTTGTACTTATTTACTCAATCCACAAGTCAACACAATCGCTCTCTGGTTGTCGCATAATCAGTTTAGAAATAATTCTTTTATATTGTACAACAAAAGTCTCGGCGTTCAGCACTCGAAATAGCCGGAAAGCAAAATTGAAGACCACTTGCCCTTGAAAAGTCTTTACTCGCCACGAAGCTTCTTCAAATGCTCTGCGCCTGATCTCTAAGGTGCGAAATATGGTCCTCTATAATATGAGATTTCAACAGAAAAAAAAATCCATGAAGCTACCTAAAACTTGAACTGGATAGTCCATTATTTCAAATTTGGAAAAGCACCAAAGTCCCAGCCAGATAAATATTTTGTTTTCGGAAAGTTGGAAAGAAAACCTATTATGATAAGAATAGCCTTTCCGTAGTGTAGAGGAAAAATGCCGTCATTTCTGTTGCATTCGAGTGCAAAGCGAGGTGTGCTGGAGAGACACCAATAGTTGAAGAAAAAACAAAACACATTTTCAGACAGAAAACGAGAGAGGCTGATATGCGTAAGCGTGAAGAGCTTGAAAATCTGGTTTGCAGGGAAAATACTCGGAAATTCTATCAAAAATATAAATATTTACTGTAGGCTACAACACCAGATCATAATCATGTAGAACCCAAAGAGTAAATCTAGCGACTGTTAACCAAATTGAATTTACAGAGGAAGCAATAAATTATCCCGCTGAAAGTTAGTAAAAATCACACATCAAGACTTGAAGAGTCCGATTCCCCAATCGTTGATGATGGAACAAGTGTTACCGAGCTATTCAAATAGACATGCATCAGCTTCTTTGGAAAATTCGGTCTGACGTATTGAAGTATAAATGTGCTCTAACCAATCTTACATAAAGAGAATCCAGCTTTTGTCGATTTTAAGGTTTTCCTTGGCAGCATGAAAAGAACGCGCTCTTAGGCCGCTATACCAGAGCGAAGACTTCTCCAAGCCACTTAGTACCGAAGCACATTTCATAA